ATTTCCAGTAAATTAGACCACACTAAACTTAATATTTTTACGTAAATGTTGCAATGTGTCTGTCCTTGGAGTGCTTGTGTTGTGCCGCAGGTTTGCAAGGTTATTGCAGGTTACAGCTCTGTCATCCAACACACACACATTAATGGTCAGGAGTGAAACATTATTTCTGTAAACAGCAGTCAGTTGGGGCAAATGCGATTTCTGATGTGAGTGCCAAAGAACAATGCCAGCTTCTGCTGCCATATGGCATGGGGACAAGCAGCAGGGTCAGCATTTCGCAGCGTGTCACCTGATTTCATTCTTCAGAGTGATGAGCGTTAGCCAAGGAACTGTTCGCATAGGCGTGTAAGGCCGTGCTCCTTCCACAGTCAGCTTAGGTGAATTCTTTTAAAGAATAATTGTGAAGATGTGTAAATCCTTAGAGTTTTTTCCCGCTATGATCTTCCAATTTTGTAAAGGATGAATAATAACTTCTAAGGAAAGCTAGCTGGAAAAATAGCTTTTATTCTGAGAAAAAAAAAAACAGAGTTATGAAATAAGGGATTTTTTTTCTCCCCCAAATTCACAGGACAAATATTTAAAGGGTCTGTTTCATGAGAGCTACATGCATTGCAAAAAGTTTCACAGCAGCACATTTGCTGTTGGAAAGGTCAAAATGATACAATTCCAGCTAGGACAGGAAGCCAATGCCTAATTTCAATGCATCAAGAGAGAAAAATGGAGGATAGAAAGGCAGGTCTCCCTCTTGCCCCTTGTTGCCCAAACCAGCATCCAGTTGGCTTTCTAGCCCCCCAGCCTGCCCAGCACCCAAGTCCCTTCCAGGAGGCTGGGCAGATGTGAAAAGCTACTGCAGTTGGTCCGGCCTGGGCACACTCTGGAGATCTCCTGTTGGCATCTTGCTGGCACAAGTGCAGACAGCTAATTTGGGCCTCCCTTGGCAACTGAGCTGCTGATTTTCACAGCGCTTGCAGGTACTTAATTATTTTGGAGAATTCTGCTTCGTCTCTCCAAATTGGTTGAAATCAGCCAACAGATTCAGAACTTGTGAAGGAAGGAGTGGGCTGATGACAGTGGTACAAACAGACAGAGAGGAAAAGAGGTAAGGCTTTAACTAATGGTGCTCTGGCACCCAAACTAATGAATTTTTCACTGCAGACGCATGCAAGCTGGGGAATGTTGACAGCTCTGTGGGCAAAGGAGCCTCATTTGAGTGTAATTTAAGACATACATGAAAGGCAGCACATATGAGAATGAATGAAAGCCCTTTGGGTGATTTTCTTACACATTTGGACTTCAAATAAGTAGTAAAGTACTTTGGGGTTGCAGAGGGGAAAGTTGACCAATATTCTCTCCTCTTCCCAGTAACCTAAACAGTAGGGAAAAAGCCAAAAAGGCATCATGGAGGAAATAGCAGACAAGCAAAAGTAGCATCTTGTGTAGCTACGAATCCTGTGGTTGGGTGGGAATGTGACCAAAGTTGATTCAACAAAAACACTGGCTGCAGAAGTGAACGCAGCCCAAAACACTTGTGTTAGCACTTAGGGAGCCTCTGTGCTCCGGGAAGGGTGCAGAGGTTGTGGTGGGTGTCCTTTTTCTCCTGCCGAATTCTATTTTAGCAATAACCATTTACTATCCCATTGAATTTTCTGACTTTCCCAAATTTCCACTAGCTCATTTGGATAGGTGTGCTGGAAAAGTGCTCAACTGGCAAGGTGTGCTTGTAGCCCCAGTAGCCTAGGGCAAGAGCTGGGGTAATGCACATGTGGAGCAACTGGGGCAAGACTGTCTGGAGTTGTTACCTTTGGTATATTCTCACTGAATTGCATGGCCAGTTTGTCTCCAAGTGCTCATTTACTTCCTTTCACCTTTTCTCCGTACTCCTTGTCTGAAACCTTTCTCCTCATTAGCTCTCCCGGCTCAGTAAACCTTGCTGGAAGAGTGGTTTGAATTTCCCCTTTTTGCATTGCAGCCCACGCACATGGCCCCTCTGCCCATGCTTAGCCGTATCTGAGAGTGGAAGGGCTAGATGGGCCTTGGAAGCTCTGCACTCATCTGATTTCCTTTTTATTTCAGACACATGAGAGCAAACACCCCCCCTCCTCCTCTGCCTGAACTGGTAGTGCTGACAATGAGGGGACAGCACAGAAGGGCTTGAAGAGGAGCAGTTTTTTAAAGACAAGGTTTGACCATTTGTCACTGTCCTAATACAGCCCATTACCCAAATCCCTGTCCATGACACCTGAGCACGCATGTCTAGAGCTGGTCACAAAACGTATAGTCACAGTCTTTTTTTTTTTTTTCCCCTCAGTTTATTGCATTGCTTGTTGGGACAGGCCCCAAGTCAGTCACTGCTTTGAGGTGACCCTACCAGAACTTCTTCTTTCCAGGCAGCAACCCCAAAAAGGGCTCTCAGACTCCACAGGCAGGTTGCATTAGAACATAAGCTTGGCCAGCAATTTCTGTATTTGAGGCAATCAGGTCAAACAGAACAAAAATAGAAAGACTCTATTAGCATCCTGCCCTTTGTGCCCAGTGGGTCCTTGCAGACAGATCCTTTCTTTCAGTCCTGGTTGCAGACAACTCCACGGCATCTGGGCTGTAGCAGACTCTTCCCAGTTCATTTTGATCCTCCAGAAGCTCTTTCCATCCACCTCAAGCTTGGGCTGGGTCTATTCCTTTCAGGAGCTCCTGTTTCCTCTGGCTCCCACCTACTGTCTGGCAGAAGGTGCAGGCCACCCTCTTCCCCTCCATGTCAATCATTTGCTCCTTAAAGAACACGGCACACAGGCTAAAAATTAACAAATAAACCAGATACTGGTCCTCACATATGCCTTAGCTGTTTGAACTGACAGTTCATTTTCTCTCTTCTTCCCTGCCATCACTTCTTTAAAGAGCCCTAGGACCTCAGTGGTCAGCTACAAAGACATAAAATTTGCCGCTGTGCTGATGTTGGGGTCAGAGAGAGGCCACTTGCTGTTGCTGTGATTTGGGAAAACGGAAAATGGACATGCATACTGGAGGTTATCAGAGCTGCGCTTGTAGAAATCCTCCCGCGTCTGACGCCTTTCAGGCCTTCCTACGCACCCGCCACCATGAAGCCTCTACAGAGCCGAGCATAATCCTGCAGCACAGACTCATCACCAGAGCTGTAGGCAGGAGTCCTGTGGCAGCTGTCACCTCTTCATTTGCCCCTAAAAAAAACCCACAGGTTTGGGAATCACACAGAAAACATCAATCCTCATCGTTTGACCAGGGCCGGCTTGTACCCCCACGCCAGAATGGTGTGCAGGTGATCCTGGCACGCGCTGCCTGCTCCTCTCCCAAGCGCTGTGTCTCACCATCGCAACATCATTTGTGCACTCCAGCAGTGGGAAACACTATGCAGCCTGCTTGTGGCCCTGCTCTCCAGCTCTTGTCGTGAGAAAACCCTTAACCTGGGAGTCCCTGAAATCCTGCAGTCTGCAGTCTTTGCCATGGTTCCCGGCGCGTCAGGCTTTCCTGCTCTCCTTTGCAGCTCATCACTCTTCACCAGGTTTGTTCTCATGATTTGTGAACTGCTGGTCTCTAGGAATTCCAGCGCCACATGGTTATTTGTGGCTTGGCTCTCGCTGTCCTTCGCTTTATGTATATATATCCTAGTCTCTATCCTGTTCCAACTTCTTAGACTGCCTGCGTCTGCGGCCTCTCCCAGGCTCGCAGCAGGAAAAACCAGTTCTTGCCAGGCTGCATTCACCCGTGGGCACACAGTGTTTCATTGTGCCCCTCCCACGGTCTCCGAAAATTTCCATCTTTGGCAATTATGGTGCCATCAACCCCGAGGTGCAGGCAGCAACTTACAAGCCTCTCGTCCAAATTTAACAGTGCTAAGGGGCAGAGGTTAACATTTTAATGGCAACCACTGCATATTTTACACAAATGAGGCTATTGAGCACATGAATTGGTGCTGGCACTGTGTTAGCTCCTTAACTGATCACAGAATTACAGAATGGTTGAGGTTGGAAGGGACCTCTAGAGATCATCTAGTCCAACCCCCTGCTCCAGCAGGGACACCTAGAGCACGTGGCACAGGGTGGCATCCAGGTGGGTTTGGAAGATCTCCAGAGAAGGAGACTCCACAACCTCTCTGGGCAGCCTGTTCCGGGGCTCTGTCACCCTCACAATAAGGAAGTTCTTCCTCACATGGAGGTGGAACTTCCCGTGTTTCAAATTGTACCCATTACCCCTTGTTCTATTGCTGGCCACTACCAAGAAGTTTAGTCCCAGTCTCTTTACATTCTCCCCTCAGGTATTTATACATGCTGATAAGATGCCCTCTCAATCTTCTCTTGGCTAAACAGGCCCAGCTCGCTTAGTCTTTCCTCATATGATAGATGCTTGAGTGCCTTAAGCATCTTCGTCACTCTCTGCTGGACCCTTTCTAGAAGTTTCACGTCCCTCTTGTACAGGGGAGTCCCGAACTGCAGACAGTATTCCAGCTCAGTATGGGCCAAATGAGAAAGGCTGTAGAAAAGTGGACTGATTTCTCCCGATGTAAAGAGAGCAGCATGACACCTCCTGATCTGCTACAGACACTCTCTTAGAAGAAAGTATAATTAGGACCCACATGTGTTTTCTTTGTAACCACAAAAACACCAAAGGTAAATCCACAGTTCTCCCAGAATTAACATAAAAGCAATATGATTTTTTTTCTTCTTCTAAACACTGGTGAAGGAAGAATGGTATTTTTAATTCATGTATAGAAAAACCTAACTACTTAAAATCATGGTATTTTTCTCCTGCTTAAATTTATAGGCTAATGGAGGAGAAATTTCTGCAGAAGACCCGGAGCCTGATTACACCACTTTAGTGGCACTTATGCCCAGCATTTCTGTAAAGCAGATAAATTGCTGTGACATCCCAGCAGAACTGCAGCCCACAATCCTCTTCTTGCCTTAGTGTAGCCGCACTCAGCTGCAGCAGAAGCAGATCATGGGCACCCAGCACTATCTTTTCTAACCTATGGCCACGATATCTGCAGGTCTCTACCTGCAGATAGTGAGTGTAGGGCTCTGTGGACTTCAATAATTCAATGTGCATTAGTTAAATGATTTTAAGAAATAATAGTAATAAAAATAATTAAAAAATCCAGGCCAAAATGCTTTAATTGATTGCAGCTTAACTTAATGTTTCCTGGTCAAAAATGAGATCTTTCATGTTCTTAAAAAAAAAAAGGAACTGACAAATTCATTACCTAATCAGGATAATCTAGCAAATTAAGAGGTAATTCTGAAGAAATAATGAAAACTCTCTAGTGGCATATTAATTATGATTTTCTTTTCAGCTATTAAGAAAGGAGGATTATGGAAGTGGCCAAGAATAAAGAGAGATCTATTTTCAGGGTCAGCGGATTTGTCTTTTCACAGGCCTAGCAACTCAAAAAAGAAGAAATTGATTTCTCTCTATGCAGGTGATTCGTGAAGCCTTGAGCAGAGATGTCTTTTTTTTTTCCTACGCTGCATAATTAAACTTGATATATTTCAAAGTCAATTATCTATTCCAAAAAAAGGCATATAAACCATTTGAACAAAAATCCAAGCCAACAGAATAATGACAACCTCTGATACCAAGCAACCCTTTGAGTGCTAGAAATTTAATTTCCCTATTGTAATGTAATTTATTAAATTTGCTACCTTTGGATTCGTTTATCCTTCTCAGACCTGTCAAAAGCTGTCTACCTGGGACATGAAACACCATGTTGTCATAGATTTGAGGCCATTGCAGGTAAAATAGCAATGCAAAAACCCATATATATGAAGAGAAATAGAAAAGTGAATTAACCAGGTTTCTCTATAGGTGACTTTTCTGCCTGGAATGGAATATTTCTGTACTTCAAAATAAGCAGCTGGACACAATCTAGTTTTTATATTCCTTATCTGCTTGTTACTCTAAAAGGAGAAACACAATAAGATTTGTAGGATTTGGATGGTCTTTGATGTAATACTGTTACTGTTACTTTTTTATTGTCTCCAATGTCCCATTTTCCTAAACATAACAGCAACAAGCAGTAGGAAGTGATTTCCATGATCAAAAATAAAAAGTCAAAAACCAAGCAAACCAAAGCCACACCCATCTGCTTTCCAGAGAATATTTGATTAAGTAATTAAGCATACATGTTCTTTTACTATTGACTTTCAAACTGTCCACGAACTTCCTGTTTCCTTACTGATGCCTGGCATGACCTTGCAGCCAGTGCAGATGCAACCCCAGTCTCCGCATTTTCAGCCACTTTGCAGGAAGTGCATTGGTGGATGAACTATTGTTGTCGGACTGTGGATTGCGACCTTGTACCGAGGGACAAAGGCGACCCCATTCTGGTATGGGTAGGCAACTGCAGATAGACTGAAGTGCTCTGCTTCTAGGGTGACTTCAGAAGAGCTGCAGAAGGCTATGAGAGCAGAGAGGCAGGTTAACATCAGCATTAAAGGCTATGGTCACAGCATTTCTTCACCTCATTTTCAATAGTTTTGAACCACCAGAATGAGATTATATTGGCTGGATGCTTGGGGACATGTGACAGTAGTGCCGTTAAGCTGCTGTTGATGATATGATCAATGCAACTTTTTGTTTGAAGCTTGCCTTCCTGTCCTCCTCTTTATCAGGCAGAAGTGTTTATTGATTCCAGTGTCTTTCAAAAAGAGGATTTAACTGGCCTCCATCTAGCTGGATTAAGTGGTGCTTAATGCACCCTCCGAGATTGATGATGACCATGAGGAGTGTAAGGGTGTCTAAGTGGAAGCAAATAATAAAACAATGTCATTTTTGGCCTTGGAGCAAGTGATTGCAAGATAGAGTTTGTGCGTATCTTCATTATATTCCTTTTAAAAGTACTGGAAAAACTTAAAATGCATAGACTAAAACATGATGCTTTCTCATAATAGATTCCCAGTTTAAACAGTATATGTGATATATAAATGTAAGTGATTGTGTCCCAACTTCCTCCAGCTCTTTCCTGTTTTGTTAATTCAATATTTTTTTCAGGATCTCACACTCACTTTTTCAGCTTATTCAAAAGAAAAATGCTTTGAAAGATCCATATATAAATAACAACAGTAAATTCAAACATAGAACTTTTAATCTCAACAGTCAAAACATTCACCACCTAGACCTTCGCCCTTACTTTCATTTATAGTTTAAGCCACCATTTCTGTTGAAAACATTCCTACATCCCCACCATAGCTGTCACTTTTTCATACCCTTTTCTTTGCGTGCTGATGTATAGGAGCAATGAACAGAACCAGGGCATTAATGCAGGTTGAAACTTTTTAATTCGCCTGGAGCAGGTTCCCTGAACTGTTTAGCATATGGACGTATAACATTTGCACTGCACAAGAGAAGGGAAGTGCAAGACGAGGAAGAAAACAAGGAGCCTGGAGAGGCCAGGGCTGTATGAAAGGAAACAGAGGAGAATGAGGCCGTTTCTTTTGAAGACAGTGAAGGTTTATGAAGGTCTAAAGTATTCATGAAACACTACCTCTTATTTCAGGACTTCAGGAACGTGTGCTGTCAGGAGGATGTAGGACACACTCTTTGGGAAAAGGGTGTCAAAAAGAGGAAGTTGCAGTATCGTATAACTATAACCCTGTTGTCAAATTATAATTATCTGTGAACATATAAATTCATCTTCTAGAAAAACTGAAAGACTAGTATTTAGTTTTGCAGTTATGTCCCACACCTAGAAAGTGCCTATGAACCAGCTGTTAAATAGCAACTATTAACTAGTAAATGAGAGTAAAATAAAACACATGTTTTTATCAACATAGATAAAATAGCACTTCTTATGCCTTTCAGCAAAAATAATCAGAGAGCCCTGGTGGGATCTCATATTACTCAGACTCCTTATTTGTAGCTTTTACACTCCAGCACACTTGCTGATAATGTATGAAGTATGAAATTAAAACCAAATCAATTGTCAGAACAAATGAAAAAGTACACTTTGCGATGCATTATCCTCCAGTCTTTTATTGTATTTCTTCATTCACCTGATAATTCCTCAAATCCAGTCATTTACAATGGCTCTTCCAGTCATTAGTAGGATTTAGTGGGGTTCCACTGCAAAATAGTATTCACATTTCTCATGAGAATTGGTATGTGTAGTGTTGAAGGGCACCGGATACAAAAGCTGTCAGTCTACAGCTATATTCAATTTCCATATGCTTATCCAAACTCATGTCCTGTGCTGGGAAATTAACACATGAAGTGCAAATTTTTTGAATAGTTTTTTTTTTTTTTAATCATGCTCATCAAGACTCACATTGGTGCAGAGGTTTATGTGGGAAAACCAGGATGTGGTTGCATGACTAATTTTTAAAGCCTGTGCATAGCCTCTCAGGAATGCAGCTGGATGCAACTCCTTAGTGGCTTGATTGTGATGGCTGCAAATTGAAATATATTTTAATGCTTCTCTGCTCAAGAAACATGAGCTCATTAGAAGTTGAGACTTTAGACAATGTATTAAACGAAGTGATCTGTCACTCTACTCATTCTTGTCATTTATATTTTACATAAAAAATGCAGAAATGTAAAAAATGTTTATGCTATCATGTTAAGGTGATAATATCAAATCTCATTCCTGTTCATCTACATTTAATAGCATAAATGGCAGGATTTGAAAAATGACATTTGGCTTCCTGTCCACTTTCCGTGGCAATATATAATGTTTGAAAATGATTGAATTGGTACCCAGAAAAATAAAAATTCTTCCACAACTACATACAAACTTCTAAGTTTCCAATTTTTAATGGAAATATTGAAAAAACTATCTAAATTGAAATCATTTAGAAATAATTTAACTTCCTTAAAAGAAATCTGTTCCTTAGATACTTTTTAGCATGCATGGGAAAAGTGCTATTTAATTTCACACTCAACTAATCCTTTAATAATTTTCTTTCAGGTAGAATATAAAAGGTTATTATTAATTCCTTAATCAAATCAAAAATAAGTTATAGTGACATGTTTTAACCTTGGACCAGTTGCAGTAATTTTTCCCCATTCAGAGAAGGCACCAAAGATCAATACAAATGGCAAATGATAAATTGGCCTTTGGGAATTGCTCAAGATTCCCCCTCCTCGCGCTCTCACTCTCTTCTTTTTCTTTTGCCCACATAGGTTCTGTCTGCAAATGACTCTCCTGAACTTCTGTTTTTTAGCATCAATCAATCAATGTGACCTCCCCTCTCGTAACTATCAAAGGCAAAAGTTGTCAATATCCCATGTTATTCAGTTCCCAATTACACTGCAGTTATTTCACAAAGACCATAGCTAGTTAAGATTCATGATCTATGCTACATTGTCAGAAGTTCAGCTCATATCTCAGAAGCTTATTTGCCTTTTCCTATGTGCTTGAACTTTGCTGAGGAGAAAAATCTTTCACTCTCACTTGCAAGATAAAGCATCAAGAATTCCAATTTACATTCAATCCATTGCATCTGTAACTGGCAAATAATGCTCCTTCTCATTAGCCCTCAAATTCTCATCATATTATGGACTCCAGAAATACTACTTGAATAACTGTGGGCTACCTGTTAAAAAAAAAAAACAAAAAACAAAAAACTTGCTGTTATTTATCCCCTTCGAGTCTTAATAGCAGATGTTGAAGAGAACTACAGGCACCCAAGATACCTGCTTTAAAAGAGTAATTACTTCCAAATGGCAATGGTAATAGCAGTGGTAGTAATGTCAGCTTTTCTTGAGAGTTACTTTGGAGAAAAAAGCCGGGTTTCTCTTTCACCACCCCTCTCTTTTCTCCAGGCACTTATAGTTAGATGTGTATGAATAACTGTCATCAATAACTTTAAAATCTATTAGGAATATAGAAGTAGAAAGGATATTCTGGGTTTCTCAGTCCAACATTTTCCTATCACAGGAGACATATGGGGCATGCCAGAAACATCTCAGGAAGAAACTTGCTCATAGCAGATCAAATTCTACCTTAAAATTGCTTGGAGTTTCTTTACTCTAATGCTCCTGCCAAAAAAGCAAAACCAAAAAAACAACTCTAAAATCTGTTTGATCAGTTTGTCATAAACCATCTCCCAGATGTCAACTAAATTTATCATGGCTAGTACTAAATCTCTATCTGCCTTTTTGCTAGATCTCTCTTTTAACCTAAGCAGTTATTTTCCCAGCGTGATGTTTACCTGTGGCTTGCCAGAATGTCAGGAAGTGTTTGTTGCACCCTTAGATAATTTTGTAGGTGCTATGCATCCAGGGAGGCCAAAGTAAAGAAAAGGTGCTGCTCTGTCCTGCTATCCCTTGCCACCCAAGCAGGTAGTCTAAACACTTTGGGAAATGACTGAGTTGGTGGTTCACGACTCAGACTAATTGCTAGGAAGGGTTGGGAGGACATCACCATTACTGGTGGGCTATTCCGTGACTCTTCATTGCATGGATGGTTTGTTGTTCCCTGCAGACCAAATCTCTGTAGCAGAAACCTTGTGGATGGTAGGGTATGAACCACAGGCTCAATACAGCAACTTAGTTCTTATGAAGGCTTTTGGCCTGGGCTATCCACGTGTGTGCCCAGACAAAGATAACACACTTAGGCAGCACTTTTTGAAAGCTGTCATTTCCCAAAAGGAATCATTAAAGTTGAAGCATGCTGTGGAATCAGTATTAAAAGAATTAATTTACACTCATTTTTTAAACACCTAATTTCCCCGCTAGCCTGTATGTAACACTACTTCAAACAGCTACACACGGTGTCATTTAGTGAATATATGAGGCACAGGTTTGCATTATGTTTGCTAAAAGGACTAGGATTTCAATTCCATCTGCTGCTGGGTGTGTTTGATTTGTATATTAATTATGCCTGTTTGTAGCTGTAAATTTGCTCCAGATTAGTAGCTGATTGGTTCCGCACATGGATTCATTATACTGAGTGGCTCCCTTGCACTTTTACAGTTTTCAAATGATTCCATACTTACGCCTTTCAAAATGCTTTTTATACCTCACTTATTCAGTGTGAGCTTTCAACCCTGTTTTAGCCAGACATTTTTTTTTTCCCCTCTAAGAGAAAACATGTTCCTTTGATTCTTTTTTCTGGATACCTTTGCCTGCTGTAACTCCAGCTTTGTCCATGGTGCTGCTCAAAAATGCAAGAGGAAATGACTTCCTCTCCTCAGGTTACAGGGAAATTCAGCATATTTGCACTGAGCGTTTGCTACATGGAATGACTTAAACTAACGGGTCGAGGAATTACATGAGCACTCAGCGGGGGTGTATATACATACCTGTTATTGAGCAAACTTGAAATGCTTAACCCATGGAGATAAAGCTATCCCACATGTGGAACTTCCTCAGTGGTTTGCAAAGTTTTGAGCTACCCGCTTTGAGGTTTGGATCCCTGAGATACGCTTGAAAACTTAACACATTTAAAATGAGCTGTGTAAAAATGGCTTTTGTTGAAGTTACTGCTATTTGTATCTGTGGGTGTGAATGTTTGTGTACATTTAGAAAATAAATGTCAAATAGGTCGGGCAGATTTCCTTCATTTCCTTCATTTTAAGAAAAGAATCACTCTGAGCTGAAAAATTGTATGTCAAGGCTCTGCCTGAAGCAAATTTTTACGATCAAATTAAAAACCTTCGAGAGTAAGAGTTTATAATGGAAATACTAACAGAGTCTTAACCATGGCAGCACTAGCAGGCACTGCAATAATACTAGGAAAACTCTCCCTGCCCACAATCTAAACTAAATAAAAAAGATGCCATTTTCTAACATATACCCCAGGCTAGCAAATAATTTAATTTAATGTACTTGCCCTGTGGTAATATGGTAGCTCTGCAAACCTCTGAGCCAATTTTTCTTTTCTTTTCTTTCTTCTTTTTCTTTTTGAACATATATGCCCCATAGGGAAAGGATTGCAATTTAGCTCTTATTTGTGGATATATCGCTTTCATTTCAATAATTCTTGGAAGCCTTCCTGCTGTCACACACCACTGTATGCAAGGACCCAACTGAATAAAGACCCACCAGGCTTTTTCAGGAGTTTATTCACAGGTTTGGCTTTGCTTATTGTAGTATGCACCACATTTAAATTAGATGAGGGCTACTGTAAAGCAATAACATTGTCAATGACTGGAATCTCACTTTTCCCCTCTAACAGTCTGAAGCAAATTAATGTATTGGTTGTTCATTAACAAGTAAACAGTTTCTGCTACAATGTCAAGGAAAAAGAATGTGTTCATTAATATGAACGATCTTCATCTACAAAGATGATTTACACAATGCATGTCATGAGATAGCTTTCCCCTAACTAGTACACTACCAAACTGAAAGCTGATTCTTAGGACTTCCTTGAAATTACAATATTGTTTGTTTACCAATAAGAAAGACAGTCTCAGTCACCTATGCCACCATTGTAAGCTCTATAGTAAGTACTTAAAAAAAAAAAAGATTTTCTGGAATCACTTGTAGAATTAGTAAAATTGATAACTACGGACTTACACTGCATCAATGATACATATTATTCCTGTGATAAGTTAAAATAAGATTAATTTGGTTATAGAAATCCCTTAAACAACAACACTTAAATTATTTCAAACTTGAATTTTTTCAAGAATTTTCTGAAAAAATCAGCAAACACTGGCTAAAAAAGCAAAGCAGTTTGGATACACCAATGTAATCAGCATGCCTTGTGCTTTTATGTTAACCCTCTGAGTATAACCATAGTATTCTGGATTTTTTGTGCATTAATGCTATTAAAATTATTATTAACAGAAACATTACATATGTCATTATTTAATAAATCATGTTCTAAATATATTTAGGACAGGCACCTCATCTAGTGGGTGTTTCACCTATCCTAAAATTTTAATTTTCCCCTAGAGAAGCCAGTCTCTAGGAACCGTAAGGGAAGTTTAAATGAGTGGCTTAGACTAAATGCCTGACTCCTAGATGGATCCATCTAGATGAGGTGGAGCCCAGCACACAACCTCACTAGAATATTGCACTTAGATTGCAGCCCATGTTACCTCCACTTGTATTTAATTGAGAGGAACTTAGCTGGTAGCTACCCTACTCTAATCTCTCTTTAATAGTAAGTTCAGACTGACAGGCATCTCCAGAGACCAAATATTAGATGACCTGAATCACCCTTTGGAAGTGCTTCTCTGTATCTCCTTGATGATCGACAGAACTGACAACGTCTGCTATCCTTAAAGTGCCCTAATTAACTACATAGACATAGGTGGGAGGAAGTTGTCCTTGTATATGTAATAAGCATTAAAAAATAATTCCGTCACATTTAGCACCAATAGAATTCAATGATTTGAGGAGAGATGAAAAAAAAAAAAGTCAGTAGGTCAGTAGGTAAGTATTACAGTAGAATGACCACAGTGTACTATATGCTCTCTCAGATTATCACATCAGAAATAGTCTGTTATCTTTGATTCCCTTTTTTCACTGCTGTTTCAAGTATATTTAGGGTCATGTGTTCTGTCTTCACTCACCACTAGGAATTCAGAGAAAAGAAAAAGGGGAGAAGCTGACAAACAAGCCTAAACCATTATTATTTCCATCAAACCATACACACATACATATATAGAGATATGCATACATACATACATTATCTATATGTGGATATATTAAAACCGTCATGGATACCTCTTTTCAAATAGTTTAAATATTTCAGTACCTTTCCTTGAAGTCTAAAAAGGGGCTATCAACATTTTAAAACCCAATCCCTCACAGACCTAAAAATAACTTAAAATAAAGATTTTTATAGTTATGTTCATAAAATATGAACCAAAGATCAGAAACACTTAAGACACTAGGGATGAGTAGGGATTTTAGAATCTGGGATTATTTTCACATATATTTTAAGTAGTACAAGATGGCGAAAGATGGAGACAAAAATTTTATTTTAATGATGACCCTGGATTCCAAGGCAAAACAAAGGTGCCAGGAAAATCCTAGACAGGTTTCTGAATTGTATTTTGCATGCACAAAGTGAAACTTTTTTTTTTCTCTCCTGACTTCCCTGTTTAATTAAGAGGAATTAACATAGGCCTTTGTTTCAAGACAGCCAAATTTTCCTAACAGTCGAGGAGCATGTGGTATTAATGGACAACTTTTTATTACCAAATATATGTCTTGCTTTTACGTGGTTGAGTTGTATCTAAAAGGAAGTCTATAATATAATGTGGGAGGGGCAAGGCTGAAAGAACGTATGCCTGATCTCAACCTACTCTAAAATGATGTAAGTTGGTGGCAAGGGAGGATTTACTTCAGCTAAGGGTTTGGTAAATGGGAAGAACAAACAATCCTTGTCCTATATGAATGTTTCCAGACTAAATACATTAGCAGCACAAGAGCCCCATCTACTTTGTGCCTCTAAGGCTGGCTGGCCATGGTCAGCAACCTGCCACAGATGCAGCCCATTCCTCAATCCTGATGTTTCAGTACTTTTGCATGGCAGTTCCTTTTTTCATCCTCTTGTTGCCCTGGTGGAGCTTGCCAGCAAGCCACCTAGTTACTTCACCTGGGTTAAAAAGTTGACCTTTAGCCAACAACCCACTGTTAATTGCACATGAGTCAACCATAAGGACATAAATCTACAACCTAACCCAGATTCATACTTCAACTTAGGTTTTCAATAAGGTAACTAAGACCATGCATAAGCACAAAGCTTCTCCCCATTACATGTTCAGAGATTAGAGTTTCCTAATGGCTCAAGGTAAGATTCATTTTACTAAACTTAATATTCTCAAGTTTGGTATCTATGTAAGCTTCCACCGCTAGGTTTCTTCCATAGCAGAGTGAGAGAAGAAGGTCTTTCCAAAGCATGAATGTCCCTAAAATATACGTCTGTGATAGATGAGATGAATCAAGCTTGGAAATGTCCTTCTCTGTACTTATAAGGACCTCTAGAGGTCTACATTAAACTAAATGCTTCTCTTAGATTCTTAAAGTATGATGAAATCAATTGCATTCTCTGTGAAATTCTTATAACTTATGTGAAGATTCACAAGACTTAAATTCCTGTATAAAAATCTTCAAAGCTTTTAATATATAAACTCTTATGTCTGAAGAAATGAAAGATGCATTTTGAAGGATGGAAAACAAAACAATTCGAATGTTTCTTAAGAGATGTTTCAACTTCTACTTGAAACTAGAAATGCAGAAGAGCATTATTTTGAAGCCAACAAGCTGCAGGTAACACATTAAGTGATGCAACTGCTTTTATCAATAGTTCTTTGAGTAAACACAACTCTGAATATACAATGCATTAAGAGTAACTTGCTCTGCTCTTCCAAACTTTATACTTCCCAGAAAGATCGGCATAATCTGCCTCACTCTTTGGGCACCACATTGATGATTCTAACTGGATGATATTAAAACAGAGAAAGAAAAAGAACAGAAAAAAAAGAAAAAGAAGAAAGAAAAAAAAAGAGGAAAAAAGAAAGGGAGGAAAGAAAAAAGAAGAAAGAAGGAAAGAAAAAAGGAAAGAAAGAAGGAAATGGGAAGGAAGGAAGAAAATGAGGAAAAGAAAAGAAGAACAAAAGAGAAAGTATACCCCTTTCATGTGACTTTAAAAAAATACAATGACAAAATGTGAACTTTAGAAGAGAAAACTTAAAATATGGGTAATCTTATATGATTAAAAAGAGAAAGAATAAATTTCATGTTTTTTTTTATTTTAAAATAGGATTTTGGAAGTGTGCCATTTTTCTTTCTTTCAAGTGAAAATCTGAGTGAATTTGTAATATTTTTTCTTCTATTTACCATATTTGAAACCAAAATTTACAAAGCATAATATTTTGTGAAAGCCAACTTTACAATTATGACTAAATAATACACTATAAAGCTGTCCTGAGGTTTTAACAAGCCAGAAATGGATATTCTCTGTGAAAGTACCCATTTTATAAAATAGTACAAATCAGCTAGTGAATCATTTTTTAATTTCTCCATTCTAAGATGAAACTTCCACCAATTCAGGTTAGAAAAGGCTTTTGTCCACAGCTCTAAATATCTTAAAAGACTTTTTTTTTTTTCTGAGCTCGGAAATCCTCTAGCTATTTTAAAAGTAAAATTCTCATTAATGTTCATCTTTAAAAATGGCTCTCACCACAGCATAACTGTGGTTATCTATGGAGTAACCAGGTCATGCTGAGAAGTTGTCTCTACCTTTCTGAATGCGAGGCAAAAGGAGCAGCAACTTTTAAACTAGATAATTACATACCATTACATGACAGAATGTGTCCTTGAGCCATTTCCCAAGACCCCGCACTGTCATTAGCAGCAAATGATATGGAAGCAACGTTCTGAGGCCATCATCATGTCATCTCCTGTAAACTATGAGACAGCACTAAACTGAATTTCCCATTTACCCGGCATAATATCGTCCAAAAACAGTCGCTCTTCTATGGAAGTATGAAGCAGGTTTAGAATGGGCTGCTGTAAAAGATACTGTTTGTTTCACTTTATGTTTGCTTTTAAAGCCCATATTTTCAGCCCTTAAGCAATAATGTGTCTGATATTGTTTTGGCCAGAAAGAGGCAGGGAACTTTAGCGTACTGTAAAAGATATATGTGTATAAAAGCAAAAAAGCCAGAATAAAACCCTAGTGTGGGCTGTCAAGATTAAGTTGATCACTTACTCAGAGGGTTAACATGTGCTAAAATTACATACTGCAGTTCCTAGCTTCACTGATGAAAACATTCACTGCTTCTATCTTTAAATAAAAAAGCAAAATAGCCTTAACCCTTTGAGGATCATATTAGCAGCAAGTTGCAATCTAAACAGAGAACAAGTATTTTGATCGATTAGGAAATTATTCTTACAAAGATTCTGTAAACACCCTTTTGTGTTCCACCATTCAAGCTTTTAGCACTAGATAGATCAGCTGTAATCACTTCACAGGTCTGAAGGATTTTCAGGGCTCAAAGGGTTAAAGCCAAGACTTTTGAGTAAAAGTGTTTTATTAAAAGGGTGAATTAGGTGAGCGAACAGTCTCGGAGGAACTTGGTGAATAGTCTTCCGATTCGGAGTTGAGTTCAGGTGGAGCTTGCTGTGCCTTATAACGTCCCCTCACATCCTGGTTGCGTCTTCGTCGGAAAACCTGCCTCTCCTTATCAAGAGCGGTGGTCTGGCAGGGGCATAAAATAAGAATAAATGAAATTAGGCTGTGTGTGAAATGCAAAACTAATGAAAACCATGAGTTTGTATGTGGCCCGCAAATACCAGGGATAATAAATGTTCAGACCAAATTAAACCTGTTCAGTTTCAGTCAGGTCTGAAAGGTTTAGCCCACAACATAGCTAAATGCTTTAAAAAGTGCATTTCCCAAACCTTAAGATAAGGTAGCGTGACATCATCAAGCAGATACAGTACCATGTATATGGATGCCATATGTTCTACTTCTGGATGCTATTAATTTCATACTTTAATAGATTCAGGTTTCAAGCCAAATACCAACTGACCTTCCCCCCACCCTTCTCAAGGTATAAATCTACTTCTACAGGCAAGGCAGAGATGTAGGCTTGTCTTTGCTTTGACCTAATGAAGGTTGATGCACACTCAGCCATGTGCAAGTCAGTGCAATCGGTTAACAGAGATGGATTGTGATGAAGTTGTCAGACAGGATAGAGAAACAAACAGCAAAGGAAGCTAGCCCAGCTCTGTGACACCTCCTCATGCCAGTCAATGGATGTTCTTAGGGAGAAGGCTGATGACTTCTTACTGAATAACCATTGAACCTGACCATCCTGCCTCCTCCTTTTAACCAAGGTCTAGCAAATTAAATAGTCCACTGACTTTATCTCAGTTTGAGAAATATTGAGAGATGGGAATGGACATCTTTTACATGATGACCTTTTTTTCTTTTCTGCTCATTTTCTGACACTGTTGGGACTATAGGGTTTAAGGGTGATGTAGTTTCTAGCCACATTGCCTGACACATTTAGGCAAAACCCAGGTAAAAGCAGTATTGTCTGGTCAATGATGTCAAATGTGGGACTGGGTATCGCCTGTTTCTTGATGGCAGGACATGAGACCACAGTCCCTGAATCTATAAAATTACAAATTCAACAGGATGGCCTTGATTCAGCAAGAGCACCTTGACACACACTGCTTTCTGAAGCAGCGCTGCCTTCTTAAATCATGGCCCGTGATCTTGGGAAAATGCAAAAACCGCGAAGGTAGGCAGCTAGCAAGATGACCCACAAAATGCAATCAAATATCCAACATGGCACAGGAGCCAAAGACAATTTGGACAGCTGAATAGGTTGAACTGCTAAGGCATGTACGTTTTTTGCCTACTATGAAAACCTCCGTTTAAAAGAATGCAGCCAAGAGGCTCTCCTGCTTCAAATGATTTATTGCCTTCTCTTGAGATAAATTTGACTGGTTTCTCTAGAAAATTTACCAGTTATAGTGTATGCCTCAACAGAGAACAGAGATATGTTTGCACCCAACATATCCTTGAGAGCAAAATGAAAACTAAATCCGTTATACTAGTGCAGAATAGCATTATAGCAATCCGTGCTCTGAAATAATGCAATAAGCATTCAAAAATGATGTAATAGCGACAGAAAGATGGACCCGAGTACAGAGCTACTATAGCAAATGGATTTGGTAAGGCTAAATTGCTGAACTATTATTTTTGTGTCCAGAACCTACAAAGCACTACTTTAAAAGGGTAGAATAATTATCTTTGATAAGTTCATCCCTGTATTTTAAATAATAATTGCTACAAAATCCAACACTTATCATCTGCTGAGAATTTGTTTACTGCTAATCTTTTGGTTAAGAACTCTAGTATTTCTCAATGCACGGTACATTTCTTAGCCTTGAACCAACTCAGTTTTTGATTATATTTTAATGTGAAACAGAAGAATACCTAGGTCCTTTACACATACTGAATATGCTGCATACAGCATGTAATTCTGTGTGAAAATCGGAAAGAATGGCATGTATCACCATTATATAAAATACAGATTTACATTTAAAAGATTTTTTTATGCTTATAGGAAATAAGCATTTATTTAAAGTTTAAACCACATCATATCATCTCATGGTAATAGATATTCTCCAATGAGGAAGTTAAACATTTCTGGATAGATAAATAAAAGTACTTGTATTATATTAAAAATTAATTTTAAAATCTGGTGCATGAGAGTGGTAAATGTATATGTAAATGCTGAAAGTATTTAAATTTAGATAAGTTACACAAAAGTGAATACTCCTGAATAAAACATTCCTTTTAAAATGTAAATGTAAAATGTAGTTTCTTTTTAAAAAACAAAGTTACAAAATTGCAAAATGTACCAGATAATTAAATATCATGGCATCACTTTAAAGATGTCTTAAAAATAAAATCCTAGATAGCACTTTTCTATCATTATTAGGAAAACTTTTGAGGTTATTTTTTTTAAATATAGCTAAAGGCATTTACTGCCTTAATAATCAAATAAGTTAGAGAAGACAAAAAAGTGATGATTCCACTTAATCAACACCTTACACTGTGGTTTGTAGAACCAAATATTTCTGGCTTCCTAACCCTTCAGAAACTTCCTGGAAGATTGTTGAGATGACATTTCCCTTTATATTTTTGCCCAAAGTCTCTATCAAATTTGATCTAATTGGCCTTTATTTATAAAGCCATGTTTGTAGACTCAGTGCCACTATCTGCTTACTCTCCTGGGCTGAGTGACATACAAGGTCTTTTCTCACCCCATAACGAAATACCTATAAAATAAAATTTGTAAAGCCTAAAAAAGTCAAAGTAGGGAGTATTTAATCTAGTAGAAGCAAAAATACAAAAATCACTTCATTATAATACCTAGTGTTTAAAATGCCAAAACCACAAAATAGTTCAGTTCCTGTGATGCATGGAGAACTCCCAATACCTACTCTTACAGCATCACCATATTGCATTCTGCACAAATGTTTGTTTTCATTGAGTGAGGCCTCTGAAGAATTTCAAAATGTAATGGATTACTCTTTTGGAAGCTGGGAAGATGGTAGTGTGTATTAGAGTATTGACTGTGTGTGCTTTATAAGTGTAATTTTTATCTACTGTACTCTATGCATAGGAGCATATTCCAAGTGTGCTATTGTGATTAAAAATAAGCATTTTGATTATTATTACTGTTTTTGTAACAAAACCAGCTTATATTCATTTCCTTGGTTTAATAGATTTATTATTTCATATACTATTCAGCTGGATAGGTTGCTAGTGCATGAACTGGTCCATTATGGATTTTCAGGGCATATCTACTTTAAGCTGCTCTTTCAATAAATAATAAAGAGGATCTGAAGTGCACTTATGCTTCACAGGGCTGCAAATCCCAGATTTTCATTATCACATTTTGACATTTTTTTGTCAGCTTGAGGTGAGAAAGTGAGAACTTTGAGGACTATAAGATAGTAATGGCAACTAAATGCAAGTGTAGCATTTTTATTTAAGATATGCAGATATCATCTTACAATCCTTATGAGGAAATGTAGAGCTTCTTATCCATAGAAAGTAAGTGGATTGCCTCTAATGCTGATGCTTAGTGCTGATGTGTCTGAAGCACTTAATTAAGCGCTAGTGTATTTTGCATCAACATTTAGTAATTCTGACACCCAGTAGCAAATGGTTAACAAGCTCTTTTTGGAAATGCATTTAATTTGAAGAAACAGAACATTATTGTAAAAATCATTGTTTCTATTATGCATATACTCAAGTGCAGTTAGCATTTTTCTAGGATTTTACGATAGGGAGTATCTTTTTCCTGATCTCTAAGCCATGATGTTGCAGAACACCAGAACCATGCAAATTCTTTGTTTCTTGGAAAATGTTGAATTCTGTGTTTATGAGCAGACATTCAAAAGCGACACCTGCTTTGACATACATGTTGGATTGGGAGGACATACATGTTGCAGTGAGAAGAGCCTTATTTTAGCTGTGGGATGATATTTTCTGTCAGGTCAGTAATACTAGATTGAAGTGAATGCCTTTAATGAATGCAAGCAGTGACTGTTTTTCTTTTCACTTGTCTTAATTTACTGCTAGCCACCAAATATACATATATATATATATATTCATTTCATTAATAAAAGAACATTATTGTGCATTTTGCTTCTTGGTGCATCCATTATTCATACCAGCTAGGAGACTGAACTGGAGATGCAGCTGTTCATGCATTAATCTAAGAAACCCTTCCCTTCACTTGCTTTTATTTTGCAGGAAAATATTTGCAATTTGTTTGCCATTTTGACAATGCTTTATTGGTATCTAGAATTAGATCGATATATCTAACAAAAATGGTATTTTTCTTCCAGTGCATTGTTTTGTATACATGAATGTATACAAGCATATTTAAATGTTCAGATCTAGAAAATCTTATCCTGTCTATTTTTATTTTCTGGTTCAGGATTTTGGTATGTTTAGAGACACAACAGCAGATTTCCTTGGTAAAAGTGACCATTAAGCAATAACAGCAGCTTTACAATGCAAGGCATGAGGGCATGCCAGGCAGCCTTCTGCTCTGGCACTTCTTGCTTCCATGGGCCTCTCAGGTAATATGATTAATTAATGATTCAACACACTTCTGGGCAGTACTTCAAACTTAGCAATGCACCGTAGGCCCCGCGTGGAAGACACATGCTGTTTTCAGTCCCTCAAGCAAAGCTATAATTAAGTCAAGTTACATGGTGATTTGGAGATGCACAAATGACCACATCGAGGGACAGATGAATCGAGTGGATTTGAACCTAGACCTCCAAATACAAAAGGCCAGTGCTTTGGTGCACCATGTAACTTCTGGCATGGCATTAGCTAAAATGAAAGGAAAAAAAAATCCTTTTGATGTATGCTTTGTAGTGCGCTGGTGACTGAATACAAAGATAAGCATTCTACATGTATAACTTCTGGATTCATACTGCTACATTTAAATTTGTGTTTACTCTTTGACATCCCTTACTTTTAAAGACAGGATTCCTCAGCTGGTTTCAATTACATGTGGAAGAGACCTAGTGCCAAGTTGTTTGCATGGGTGAATTTTATTTATAGTTTGTAAATCAGTTGTGGTTTTTGTAGTCAAAGAGCAGGAAAAGAGATTTTAAATGAGTTTAGGTGTTTGTCTGTTTTTACCAGGATTAAGTTTACAGCGGGTTTTACTATATTAAAAAGGACACTTTGGAAAGACTGAGCTTCATTCCCAACTACTTTTCCCATTCTCCAGCTATTTGGCTGTAACTTTTAACTCACTGGTGTATTGTACTCATTTGGGACATCTGTAAGTGACTTGACAGATGTAAATTAATGGGAATTAGGTAGAAAACATGTAAGATGGAACTATGGATTTACAAATTAGCTATTCAGATTTTTTTTATTATTTGTGACTATGAGAAGTATATTTCAAAAACCCAGTATCCTGTGAATTCAGTAGTGGCAGGACTGACAATTTCATTGCATGTCTTTGTAATCAGTCTCCTTACTATTTATTGCCATTACATGGATAAGGCAATTAATGACTTTCCCCACATATTTCTTGTTTATTTTATTGCTCCTTTAGCTTTACACACTAATAAGACACTCTAATATTTTATATTAACATTACATATAATGTCACTACCTGATGTATTATACTAACATTTTACATTAGATTCATCCAATCTGGTGTATCTCATTCAACTTGAAGAAAGCAGAAAGTACAGGCAATCCTGTCAATCACAAGTTAAAATAATTTTAAGATTCAGACAAGAATGTGATACAGTAAGGATATTCAGGGTCAAAGAAAAATTGTTAGGTTGCCATCAAAATGCATAGGAACAGGCAATGCATCTGAAGAAGACTATGTACTGAACATTTCGGCACTTAGATTCAAAGGGAAGGCTTGAAATACTGGAAATTACTCTTAATATCCTGGCTTAGGAGGTCAGAATATGTTGCACAATTATTAAATGTCTTGGTTAAGTAGACCTAAAAAAGATAAGTTTCTTATAAGAAAGTAAACCTACCAGTTATAATGTTTCTTGGGGACAATGTTTGTGCTACTCTATGTCTTTGGATTTTTATAGTCATCATTGCTAAGTTTCAACAAGTAAGTTATAAAAAATGAATCCATGGGTTTCGATCCTGTAAAATGATTGATTAAAGAATGGACTTTCTTAGGAGAAAAAAAAAAAAGATCCGTAACATAATATATCTGCAGAGGGAGGAGCATGGGCAATCTCTGCTGACTTTGACTTGGGTTGACTTTGGTGATTTGGGATGGCTGAAGCTGTGATTGCAGCATATCCAGATGTTATCTATTTAGCCCAAAGCTGGCTTTCTTGGCCAATAAAGAGTTGGCAGCCTCAGGTCAAGGCACACAATGCAACTTTCCCTGGGATCTTGGGATCTTGTTCTCTACTTAAGCTACCTTGGCCTTCTCTGCACATCTGATTGGAGGAATGATGTTCCAATGACATTACATGTCACTGCTTTAAAATGTGTATCATATTTTACTGAATTGGCCATTGTATTTTTCCCATTTCTCACACTCAAGGTTTTCCAGACATCACATCTAACAGTTATTGCTATAAATAAAGTGTGTTGCATTTTAATACTTAAAAAAGTCACTTCACTTAAGAACACTTGCACATATTATCTTCCTGCCAAAAAAATAAAACAGGACATAAAATCAGTGCTTAGAAAATTATGACTTTGAGGCACTTTTTAAAGAAGGAAGTCTTTCAGGTAGAGAAAGGAAGAGGTTTTCTGGTTGACTGAAGGAGGAAATAGTGCCATTTAAAAAGATATTTTAGAAGACTTCTAGAAACTAGGGATGAAAATGATCAAAGGAGTGGAGGAAAAATGAATAGCTTAACATTAACAAAGGGAGTATTACATTTTCCTTTGGACATGCTTTCACTTATTGGTGTACTTGTGAATTCAGATTAATTTTCCTGTGCATGTGATAAATTAACTGTTTTATATATAGGAATTGGCGAAGATTTCATATGCTTTGCTTTTGGGCTTATAGTGCCTACTATAAAGTAAACTACTGCTAAACTGACCTATACTAAAATGTTGGTTGCTACAGTAGTTGCTCTGTAAAGCTCTCCTTCCTTGGTGATGAAAGAAGAAGCAATAGAGACCAGTGCCTCTTGCTAGGTACCAAGCCGCAGAGCATCCCCTAATTAAGGGTATTAGCCTAGAAGCGCCACTTCCCTAATTTGCCTTTACGCACTAGGTGCACTGTTTAGAAAGCACTAATTATGAACATTGTTGTTACTGCCCCCAGCTGGAAAACAGAGCAGTTTATGTATGAATAAGAGAGATTATCGCCCATCTGCTCCAGCCCATTATTCAAGGAAATGTCATTTTGTATGCCGATGGCAGCCATTACTAGCGCTTTAGTCAAATGGCTTTTTTTGTTTGTTTGTTTGTATTGTTTTGATTTTATAGTGTTTATTTATTTACCAAGGTGCAGAATTACAGGCTGCCTCCCCAGCCCCCACTCCCCACGGTGCATATGGTTTGCGTAAAAATCTGGGCTCTGCAGTTAAACTGAGTCAAGGCCAATCTGAGAGGAGAGACTGTCTCTTTTCTCAAAGACACTTATTTTGGGTGGTCTGTTCTCTCTGAAGGGGCATTTTTAAGAAATCTAAATATTGAGTATGGTAAGCAAAAAGACACTATTGGATTTTTAGTGTAAAACTAAAAAAAAAAAATCAAAGTTGCAAAAGAGTATATAAGTGGATCGTGGATAATAATTAACTCCAGCAGGACAAATCAGCAATCCTATCAGCTTCCCTCTGTTTTCCAGAGGAAACATTAGATTTGCAACCACTTGATAAACTTTTGACGAAAAAGGTCATCTTTCCTAAGTGAGTGGGAAAAAAAAAATATTTCCAATACTACCAAACCCACATGGAGTCAAAGCTGGGTGCTCAGGACCTACAGAAATGCTGTCAATTCCCCTCTTTTTCAAGAAAAAAAGCACAGATGCTACGCCGCTGTTTCCTCTTTGCGCTGTGTTGTACGACTAGAGCCATGTGAAGCATGATGCTAACCGGCCTAGCAGACACATTTTGCCATCTTTTGCAAGCTGCAGTAGGTTTAGAGCCATGAAAAAGATTGCAATAGGCACAAATGCAAAAGAACTACAGATACTCCAGCACATTTGAGCCCTTGGGGTGAAAGTGTTTCCCAGTTAGTTTTAGCCAGCATTTAATTCACTGATGGGTGGGAACTAGTTTTCTACTTCTTGGCTGAAGAGGAGGATTTTTCTTTTTTTTTTTTAAATTCCCCAGAACATCCATATCAGAATCTACGTAATTCTTGGTGTGCGCTCAGGGAACTGCTTGGTTTTATGGAAACTGTGCTGCAGTCCGATTCATGCACTCAGTGAAATGAGACAGGGAGGGGACTGGACTTCCCTGGAAACGCTTGCAGTGTTCATCTCTGCTGTTTCACTAATGTGGTTAATTTGCTGATTTTTTTTTCCCCCAAATACCTCATTGGTGAGGTTTTAAAATTGTGCTGTTAGAAAAATGCAGGTTTCACGAGGAGGTTTCGAGAAAATCCTCTGACCGTTCACAAATGAGGTCTAGTGAGTAATAACCAGGCAAAAAGCCAGCAAACAACCACTTTATGGAAATTGCAGGGGACTCAGTTGACTCAGGTGGCGAGGGGGCCTGCTGTGGGCTAGCAGATCAGGATCCCTTCTTGCCCCCATTCCCAGATAACCCCCTCCCGGCCCACCTCCCGGTTTATCATACAGGTCAAGCCAACTAACGACAACCCTGGCACAGTTACACAATGAAAAAAAGATACTGAAAAGATTCATGCAGTATTAAAATAAATGAATAAATAAAAAGGCGTAGGTATCAGAAGGGTTTTGAAAGTAAAAGAGGAGCGCACTGTTGGGAACACAAGCTTACCCGCACATACAATGCATCGTGGTGCGCTGAACTCGGGAGAGTTTCTACACACGATGTTAGGCAAATGCATTGTGCGGTCTAGGGTAAGGATTGTGCTTGGTGGGTTTAAAGTGACAGTATATAGCTCCACATCTCACATGGGAAACAACAACAACAAAAAAAAAGGAAAAAAAAGGGGGGGGAAAAAAAAAGAAGAAGATATATGCTGAGCCCCTGTTGCTGCTCCATGTGCTTAAACCCAGGAGCTCGCAGGGAGCAGATGCCTTCGCAAGCAGTAAGGAGGGGGAGGGCGCATACTTCAGCATATCTCCTGTTTTCTATATGCACTGTCCTTCTAGTCCCCCCTTCTAGGGGGAATCGGTGCTGAGCATGTGCCATGAGGAGGAAGCGGGCGATGCCGGTGCTGTGGATGATGAGTGAGGAGAGGGAATGAGGGGGAGTGGCGTCTCAATCAAGGTCCAAATGAAACCGATAAAGCAGCATATGGACTGGGTAACAAATCAAAAAGCATGTTTATCCACCGAAGGAACTGGTTAATGGAGACTGCCAGCACGTTGCCATGGAAACACTGACTGTTGGAGCTGCACCATCTCATACCTTATCCAATACATTCCTGGTTGTTGGTAGTAGTCCAAAGACCCTGATCTCTTGATGGTAAACCCGTGGTCCAGCTGAGCAGAGAGAAACGGGGCAACTCAGTGGATCGACATTATGCTAAAGAATTAAGACTCCAGAGAAAGCTGTTCCTTATTTAGTGCATATTTACGGTTTTCACTTTCAGAAGGCACTTAGCTAACAGCCTACGTCTACGCACCGGAGACAGAAACAAAAATCATAAGGAAAGAAAAGCAAAAGCAAAAAAGCAAAGAAATGAAAGGAAAAGATACTAACTCTAGCCTTGCTCTTGCTAAATTAGAAGCCAATTTACCCAAACTAAAATGGAGTTTGTGAAATAGGTTCCTTAATGCATAATGCATTCATTTAAAGGTCTGACAAATAACTTGTTACCTCCAAAGACAGAAGTGCCCTTTAAAGTTGCACATACCAGTAATGGAAAATTATCTTTTGCAATTAAATGGAGCAGTTTAGTAATTTGAAAAAAAAAAAAAGCAGTGCAACCATCACAAGGAGTGGGCTAGACAGACTACACAAGGCTTAAATTAGGCTGCTTCATAATCGTGGAATGTGTAAAGATGAAAAGAATCAGGTTTTGATACCCCATCAATCATGGTAATTCATTTTTAAAAATGCGTTAACCTTGGAGAGCAAGACCACTCAGAGCCAGGAATAACATTGTTTATCATTTCAGCTTACACCTCGTGCTCAAAAAGATAAAAGTTCAAAACAGTTACATTGAAAATTGCACCAATTAAATTCCAAATGGAAATGAACTTAACGTTGTGTCCAGCAAAGTGCGCTTGTGGTAGAATTTAAAGAGAAGAGATCCTTTAAGCTTAAGCTTCTGGCTAGCAGAACTGGGTGCACAGGAACAAAGACAGTGTGTTGTTTTCTCTAGCCCTTCTGTGCTGTCCTAACATATGGTTGAGAGAGCGTTTAACTGAGTTAGATATAATTTTAGGGGAAATATCTTGAGAGAGACACTCTGCCCACTTTAATATTGGAGATGGCAATGATTTTCTCGTCGTGCCCTATGAAGAGAAAAGGCCATTTTGTGCTTCATTAGGAGCGTGGCATATATTTCCAATACTGATGACAGTTGCTAATTCTAAATGCAGAAAAGCAGTTCAATGCGTTCCTAGCTACCAGCTATGTTAAGGGTCACTGGGATCTAAATAAATTTACAGTTTTCTTGATGCCTATGTTGCAAGTATAGAATTGAATGATTTATTCTGTTTAGTTAAAACAATGCCTGATTCATTTTATTGAGAATTATTTAAAGGACGTTTCCTGTTTAAAAAGAGGAGAACCTTGTAGCTATCGTTAATTTTCTGTAGGCTTAACTACACTGGTCTACTATTGCCATCTTCTGGCATCCTAGTATACTGCATAAAAACACACGAAAGGGCTGGTTTTTTTTTTTGGAAAGAACCAATGTTCACAAATCTAATAGACAAAAAGAAATAGAGAGGAAAATCGGGCAAGGTGCATCTCTAATATGAGGTCAAACAATTTAGTCCCCATAGAAATTATTCTCTGAACAAACTAACTGCGCAGAATGCACCCAGGACAATACAGGTAGCTACAAAGTAAGTCACAGACTTTTCTTTAAACCAGACAAAACAAATATACTTGGCTTCTCTTTCTCACCACCCAAGAAATCCTGCTCCTAGGAATGCCACTGGTGAGTTGTAATATTATTTTTTCGATCAGCAGAAGGCTTGGAAATTGTCTCCTTCTCTTGAGATCTTAAAATCCCGCTTGGACGCAGTCCTGTGCCACGTGCTCTAGATGACCCTGAGTGTGCAGGGGGGTTGGACTAGATGACCTCTCGGGGTCCCTTCCAACCTTAAGCATTCTGTGATTCTATGATTCTATGAAATGCCTCCTTGCTCTGCCTTACCCTTCCCTGGCGTGGGACAGCACCCCAACTTGTGACCTTGGCTATCTAGGGAGTCCCCAACGTTTAGGAGGCAGAAAAGTTGCTCTCTTTTTCTTTTCTACCTGGTTCATGTGAGTCTCAAGCTGGAATTTACTTCCAGTGCCAGACAGAGACCTCACACAGCCTGAGCACAGCGCTATCGTTAGTCTTTTCCTCTGCCTTAATAATGGCAAAAATGCAAGCACAAAGTGACAACATACAGGCAAAGCTTTAACACTTGAGACAAGACCACAAATTGAACAATGCTTGGTTAAGATACAGAATTACAGCACATCTCTAAATTGCAAAGCAGGGTTAGAAATGTTTTTGGCTCCCTCTTCCTCACTTTAGACACTGCCTTTAAAATGCATAGGGCCACAGGTGGTGTTTAGTGGCCAAAGAACTAACAGGGTGACATACTTGAAGAGCTGAATGAAAAATTCTGCCGCAGACCTTTCAAAGATCTATTTGGTAAACATCTATTTTTATGTTTTTACTGCAGTAGCTTTAAAAACACCATGGTGGAACTACAGCTATAAGAGAAACCTGATGCAACTAATGTTTTGTCACATAAATAACAGAACATGGTGGTTGTGAGATGGACCAAAGGGGCACCTAATCTAGCAGCCTGTTTTTAACAGCAACCTGTAGTAGATGCTTACGAAAAGAGTTTAAGAGTAGGGCAAGAACAGTGATCTTTCTCCGATATACTCTCCCATCAACAAGCAATGTGTTTTAGGACTTTCTTAATTTCTGTTTTAAAAGCTGGCTCTCCAATTGCATTTTGCTGGAAAAGCTATGCTAGTTTAAGGGAATTACTGTGTTTTTTTTCCTGACTGACATATTGAGACTGGCAGAAATCTCTGCCTCCACCTCCTTGCCTGCATCCTTAATCTGGGGGAAGCATCTTCAGCTGCACCAGCAAGGGAACTGCATTGACAGGCAATGGACAAATTCTTTTAAAGGTAGATAATCTTTAAGTCTGGACACACACTCGAGAACTTGCAGTAGGTCTCTGGCCTGAATGGGCAGAGGCAACTTTTACTGAGAATTACTACGCACACAAAACTAGTGTTTTCTTGACCAAATGCTATAGGCACAATGTATAGGAACGCAGCTGAAGGAAACAGGAGCCACAATACAGGCAGATAAAATACATGTGGCTTCAAACTTCCAGCTAATCATGCTGGCCAACCTCAGCCAAACTCAACCTTGTTAACATAATTTTCATATTAGTTTTAATTGGTGCATATGAAAAATATAGCTTGAGATCTTTGAGGTGTGTTACTGCTTAGCACAAAAGAAAACAGGCATATAATATCATACCATTGTGAGGATAAATAAATACCCAACTAAATAGCACAGATTAGCTCTGTCTGGAAGCCAAAAATATGAAAAATTCAAAATAATACTAAGATTTCTATTGGATAATATTAATCTATATAAATATATGCACATATTAACACATTTTCACAAACACACACACACAAACACAGATGTGCTATATAATATATAGAATTCCACATTATATATTATATACACAAGCATTCGCTCAAGAACTTACAGTAAACATACAAGCAAGCACAATAAAACAGTTTTTCTTTAGAAAATATACTTAGTGCACTCCTTTAGTGCTGAACAATATGCTACAGCATCTGTGCATACCTTGAAAATTTTAAATGTAGAGCAGGCTTAGATAATAAGATTTTCCTCGATGATATTTGATATCACAGTGAAAAAGAAGATTCCCAAATGTAAACCCCTAATGACTAACCACGTCAAATCTATGTTTCGCATGCTTTTAAATGCAGCAACAGCAATTAAAGGCTTTGTCAGTTTGCTTTTGGCTTTCTTTTACTTATTAGGTTAGTTTTGTATCAAATAAAGGTAATTTATTCCTAAAATCAAAATTATCCAGCCTTCTGGAACATTACCAAAATACGGGAGTGATTTGTACTTTCCCAGCTCCTCCAAGTTCTTAGAAAAGAAGTGACAATAGCTAAGCAAACCACTTTCTGTTTTTTTAATAGTCTGAACATTTCTAGTTTATAGGCAAAACTATAGAATTAATCACGCCAAAGTGGGATATTTACCATAGTGATGAACACTAAAAAAAATTTGTTAAATTTTCAAACACTAAAAAAAAGCTGTTAAAGAATATAAATTAACAAATATCTATTTTTTTTTTCTGATGTATAATATTTTTCAGTGGAAGGATTCACTACAGTGCCTTTTCTCATTACTCAAGGGTCAAACTGCTGTAAACAAGTTCCTTGACAGAGCAACTGGGGCAAAGGGGAAAAAAAAAAGGAGGGTGAGGAAATTAAAAAATAAAAAGGAGGCGAGGGATGGATGAGGGCAGAGGCATCATTTCTTGCTTCTAAGCTGTGCAGTCATTTGCAGAGCAGCTCTGAGCAGTAATTCTCATGGACAAGCGTGCTGGCAGTCCATTCGCACAGAACACGGTTTCAACTAGTCTGTACAGAACATACCTGCATTTCACATGAGCAATGGGTATGTGATGTTTTAGTTGTGGGAGAGCTGTTGCAGGGTTATTGCTTAAAAAACGAAAATAAAAAAATGCTGACCATGTTAGCTGATGACCAAGAAAAATTTAAGAAAAGCATGAGGGACAATTTCTTTCCATGTTGAGGAAGTTCTGAGTTGGAAAGAGTAAAGAAAAAAATATGAGAGAGGCACAGCTTGAAATTGTAAGTCCTTATACTGAGTAACTTTGAGAGAGTTTCCATTTTGCTGCACAAAGAGATCACACCTGTGAGCCAGATTGCATGTGCTGAGCTGAGTTTACTTCATGCTGATTTAACTCACCACTGGAAGGGCTGAGCTGAGAAACATGAAAGTGGAAACAGTACAAGAAAGTGTACATGTGCAGTCACACCACCTGCAATTTATGGAAGCTGGGAATGAACACAGAGTAATCCGATATGGGAATGGTTATGTTTAATGTGTCACTTATTTTTAGTGACTATCTGGAGCATTAGCATTACCATGAGTAATAAAGAAAAGCTTACAAACACAGGCAGATGTATCAAAAATGTAAAGGATGTACATGTTACTATTTAATGGCATTAGTATGAATATCTCATAAAATGCTGAATATAGTCTGTGTGCCTGTATATCTAACACACATGTTCATCTTTGGAAAAAAATACAAATGTGCATGATTTATGCTGCACTGCGGATGCCACTGAAATCTCAGCAGAGCTTGGTCAAGAGTTTGATCAAGCTTGGTTTCAGAAGCTCCAGTGCATTATATCTTGGAATATCTAGACCGTACAAAAGGTAGAAAGAAGCTCTTCGACAAATTTAGCCCTTCTGCTCAAAAGGGAAGGAGCTAGCAAGGTGCATGTGCTTGGGGCATGTAACTAAATAAAATGTTGCTGCTCAGTTACATATGAAATGGCTAATTCGTATAAACTATGAAGGCAGCACTTTTTTAGTACGCAGTGAGTTATCACAGCTCTCTTTGGTATCTTCAGAGAAGTTCAGGTTGCTGTACAGATTTGCTGTTACAATTTTGGAGTGCTTTCCACTCATTGTAAAATGCTGCTGTCCTTCCACGACAACCTCTGTGTTGCCTCAATCCATGTGATGATTCTGCTGCCAAGCAAAATGACATGATCCGCCAGTTTAAAATGTTGAATTTACATTGGAATTAGCCCACTGATCTTCTGTTAAAATATAGAAGTGCGCTTACTTTTTGCATCCTAGAGCTGTTAAATTACAATTTAAGGAGAGGAGAATCAATGGAAAAATTGTGCAGAATATCAGTCTAAATGCTTGAATATCTATAGATTAACCCTCTCTGGCTTCTCTTGGCGACATCTCCTAAACACACATTGCCTTGTGGTCACATATTTAAATGTTTCAGCTGTGTATTTCAGATGCTTACTGCTATGACAGAAACTCCAGCTGCTGTGCTGTTCGGTTTAGGGCCTGTGTTGAAATGCTTCTTTATCTTCCCAGCTACTGATAACTGATGCTCATTCTCTGGAAGGCCATCATCCTGCAGAGAAACAACACACAATACAATTTCAGAAAGAAAATGTCAAATAAAGGTACTGTGAGGCGAGCATCCATCATTGCAGGAAAGTTGGAAAAAAAAAAAAAAGGACTGTAATGTAATATTTGTCAGTCATTATCCCCACTAAAATATCTAACCTATTGGCAACATGAGTATCATATTAGACTATGAAACCAGCCTCTCTCCTCTTCTTACTCTTCCTTCTCAAACTTTTGTAATGTTAAATAACAGTTCTATAACAAATATTTTACTCTTATTTCTAGCATGTCTTAATTTCCATTGTCCAGTTGTTTTTATGTCCATGAATATTTTAATGCGTGATAAGGTTGGTCCTATTCCTTATTTTGTTGAACCATCATATAAATTTTAAAGATATTGGTCTTGAATGCAGCAAGTGCTCAAGGCAGTAGAGAACCAGAAATCCGGTTCTAGGAGGAAGCTCCTCTGTAGCAATGTGAGGGGAAGACTTTGAATCTTGAAGGAGCTTGATGCAAGCAGGCACTAGATGTGTGTCAAAAACTGACCTGAGTGAAGGCAACTTGTAACACCTCAATGTTCTAAGTTGTTGTAAGTTGCCCAATCATAAAGGCCAGAGCCCAATCCACAGCCCAATCACAAAGGCCACAGATCAGGGACTAGTGGGTTGAGCGACCGCAGTTCCTGTTCATGTTCTGCTCTCACTCAGAGTCCCATGAGATTCATGGAGAGTCTCACTGAGGCCCATGGTGAGGAAATCCAGGCTAGGTGGGAATTCCTGGCTTCCCAGCAATTCTGGGGGCTCTTTAAGAGTTGTGCGGTTGCTGCAGTAACACATGAGTCCTGTGAGCATATGGGAAATTTAGGGAGGTTGGTTTGGGTTTGTGGTTTATTTACTTTGGGGAGTTTGTGTTTAGAGATCCCTCTCTCACCCCTTCACAAAACGTCTCAACTGGCAAAATATGGTCAAGTGCACACAGATGCAGAACGCAAACCAAACCAGTGCAATCCAGTAGCTGATTACTGTCTAGCACTGGGGAGTCTTGGCTCGGGGATATATGACCCCTAAAAATAACCTACATTCTGCTGACCTTGCCTTTCCCAGAAGAAAGCTCATCTATAAAGAAATGAGCTCCTCTTCACTGGAAGGGGAACAAAAAAAGATCATTCTCTTGGCTGTCTTGACATGAAAGCCTGCCAAATTTTCATGTCATCTTGTCAAAAGACTAAATTACAGAGAAGACAACAGTTACCAAGACTGTGGTAATGTTTTATTGGTGAAGCACCACCCACACAACCCCAGTGGCAAAATGCCAGAGACGTAAGTATTGGCTCCAGCTTTTAGATAATATATATTCCAGCTCAATTTAAGATGCCACACAGGTTTACGTGGGAATTATTCTGTCACTCTTAAGTTTTCTAACTGCTTGGGCTAGTGTCTGACATTTTCTAGGTATGTTTTTATATTCCAAATGTTTTATAAACAAGTTAATTTATGTACAATGGCTCCTGGAATCACTTCAACCAACACTAAAATAGATAGATATTGAGAGCGAGAGATGACAGCTGTTTATCTACGCACAAAACAAATTGCTCTGCAGTTTAAAAAGGCAGGATGTGAAGAAAAACATAAGATTCACTAGAATCAGCAGGATAAGTTGTAGAAAGTTAGAACAGGCTCAATATTTCTGACAAAAATTTCATCAAGATTCTGTAATGTGAAGGATTGATAAAGAGATTAATGCAGTTTCTCTCCTCTACTTTAGCTATATGAACTACTTTTTGCAGTGGGTGATGATCACAGAAATTCATCTTAACCTTTAGCAGTCAGGACAGGATCTTTTAAAGATGACTAGCAGTTTTTGGTGCTCAACTCTGAGAACTTTGAAAGGGCCAAGAGCTTCAGAAAATGCTGATTGCTGACCTTCTGTAAAAAAAAAAAAAGAGCTTTCCTTTTGCAGGTTTCAAAAATTAAACACCCCAAACCAAAATGATGGTCAAGAATTTGAATTTTCAGTTGCATTCTCCTGTTTGCTTGAAGTCTTGAGATTTTTGTTTTTTTTTTTTTTTTCATAAGGATCTGTAAAATGCCTTTTTGCTCTATTTGCAAGTATTAAAAAAAAAACACAATGAAACTCCAGGAAAAAAAAGAGGCAGAGCGTTATGGCCTTACTTCAGTATGCAACAAACACTATTTTCATATATGCATCATTCTACAAGGCAAGACACATCATCACTCAAAGGAAAAATAGGAGTGTTAAAGAAGCTGAACAAAGTTAAGGATTCCTAGACTCCTACTGCCCTGAAGATCCCTTTCACAGGCTAGTCACAAGAGGCTTGCTTCCCAGGTCTAAATGCACCAGATGAAGAGGTCGTTATATAAATAATAGTAGAAAATCAGAGCAAATAAAAGTGCCGGAAAAGCATTTTGACTCTGTTTCCTTTAAGGATTACAAGGAGATTTTTCTTTGGGCAGTGTCTTAGGGTGTGATCAAAAATACTGCAGCTGCCAAAGAAGAAATGTCTTCTTAAATTAACTTCTTCACAAATGTTCACTTTATTACTATTTACTGGCTGGTTATTCATTTATTTCACAAACAAATCTCCAAGGCAAGTATCTTTAAGGAAATATAAGGCAAGTATGTTTAAGAAAATATTTCAAAGCTACAGTTTCCCTAATTCTTTTCAAACTGGGATTACAATCTTACTTCTCCAGTAACAACATGCCCTGTTTTTTATTGATTAGTTTAACAGAGAAGGATTTACAGAATGTAAACCTTCTCTTTCAGCATTCCCTGATCAATGCTATATGATAAATTAGAGAATATTTACTTCTCATCCAACAAAAAGGGAGTAGATTTGTCCCATAACTTGCCACTAGCATACTTCCAGTTATTCCATACTACCAATGTTTAAAATGCCAGACCTCAAGCCTCCAGCCCCTTTTATAGCTCTTTGGTTTTGTGAAGAATTTGAGCAGGTAAAGGAAAGAGCTGGGGTCCCAATAGGGGAAGTATAAACTGGTGGATTTGTTTCCAGGTCTAAGTGTACTGCATGTGAGAGACAAATCCAAATAAACTAAATGGAGGGGGCAGAGAACTGCTGCTGAATTGCATTTAGGATCCAAGATCTCCATCTGTGGCAATGGCAAGCAGCCAACATTTTTTTCAGGTTTTGTTTTTTGAATTGAAAACAGCTGGGATATTATTGACATAGGAACTGCTTTACTGGCCTGACTCTGACCATAACAAGTTTTGCAGTTTCCAAGAGGATTCCAGCTATTTTTATAGCAAAAACTGAAACTGAAATGAGCGTTGGCTCCTATTGAACCTGTCAAAATACATTCCAGGAATTTCAGCAATTTACCAAGTAATCACATAGTAAGCTGCTATAAAGTAGAATAGTTATTTACAATCTACAAAATGCTTTTATACAGTGTAAGCAGTTAGAACACCTCTATCAAAGTTTGGATCAAAGAATGAAAATGTTTCCTTAAAACTGTCAAAGAAAATACATGCCTGCTTTTTGATCCAGCTATCTTATCCAGTATTTTAGCTGCAATTTCACCAATCTTATCACGTTTTCTACTGGACAGGAAGAGACAATATTTTACAAAAATTGCAGAAAATTGCTCAGGTAATTATGACTCACAGATCTACAAGCATTATGTAAATATTCACTCCTTGTGTATTCACATTCTTTAAGAGAATTAATTCAGCACAGTGACCCTTTATGAAAACATTTATGTGCCTGTTTCAGCTCAGCCATGTTCAGATTTCTCCTGAAGTAAACTTGGCTTTAATCTAGTTAATTTTATTTTTAATATTAGGCATTTCCATGTGTGATGCCTTGAAATAGGAGCAAATTTTGAGATGTTCTGTAGTACTTTCCCGCACTGGCCCCAGTGCTAGTCTTTGCCTTCCAGAAAAAATATCTGGAAGATGCATACGAGAATTAAAACACATTTTTTAAACTGTTATTTTTAAACTGTCATTAGTGTATTGCTGAAGACAAAATACTGACTCTTCTCAGTTGCTAAGAGCAGCAATTGCACAGAAAAGAAGAGATTATGGAACTGTCATGAAATATTTGCTTCAGGTATTTATGAACAGAACTGCTACAGGCTCTGTTTGCAAAATTGTTTTCCCTGTTTCAGTTATACCATATATAATACACTTTAGGAAGCCATTTCAGCAAAATGTATCAAGAATAAGAGGTGCTGCTACCAGGAGGGTGGTGCTGCCCTGCGCAGGTGACATGAGTGTGATCAAACTCCCTGTCCTACCTTGTGCCTCCTGAGGGGCACAAAGGGAAGATGGGGAAGGCTAAACTCTTTAAACACTCCAGTAAAGGCATGATTTGGTTACCAAAACACCCTGTGGAGTTCCTCGCTTTTATGCAGCAAGTTAGAATGTAGATCCTTGAGCAAGAGGATGCTACAGGGGCCAAGTATAAATGGATTCAAAGGAGAGTTTGATGCATTTTTGGAGGGTAAGTCTATTGATGTCTATTAAATACAGTGGTTTGGATAAAACTTTTGGCTCAGAAGTTCTGAAGTACTTGATTGCCAGAAACTGGAAGATATACCAGGGAAAGTTCAAGCTCCACTTGCCTGTTTAAAATGTACTATTTCATAAACAGTAACTACCATCCTCTACTGGAAATGGGATATTGTGTTGAATTCCCTCTTGGTCTAGCTCTGTCGCACTTCTTACAGTCTTTTGCTGATTATAATGCCTCACAAAGTTTCCAAAATATCCCACCCACCTCTTCTCCTATGAGGAAGAACAGATGCGTCAGTAACTAAAAGTCATACAAACTGTGGCAGAACACTGTGTCCAAGGACAGTACCTGGCATCAAGGAAAAAATACTATTTCTGCTGCTTAACTGTCATCTTTAAAAGATTTATATCATATGCTGTCCTCTATCCTTGCATTCTGTACATAGCAGAAGTGCTCTGCATGATAATAATATTTACAGAAAGAAAAAAAAAAGGGGGGGGGAATAGAACTAAAGGACTAAAAATGTAGTCTAGGATTAAAGTGCATACTTAGTAAAGATTTACACCGTCATTTTTGTCTATACAGAGAACACCTTAAAAAAATTATCATTTCAGATTATTGAATACTTAAATTTTTAGAATAGTGTTCTCATGAGAAAAATCCTAAATCTGTAGCATTTTTAGGAGGTGCCAGCTCCAAAAGGGCATGCAAGAGATTTGACAGAGAAGAGCTAGAGCTTAAAGGTGCCAAATTACAAGCATCATCTCCAAGTCTGGAATTACTTACATTAACCCATGGATGTTCAAGAACTTGCATGGCTGAAAATCGCAGATCTACATCTACTTGAAGCATCATTGTGATAAGTTCCTGAGAAATGGAATACCGGGTCATACTTAAAGAACACTTTGCTAAAGCAAATCATCAGACTTAATTCATTAAAGCACTCTTTGACTTAATATATGAGGGTGTTCAAAGATGAACTACCAACTGCAGAAATTTATTAAAATTATTTTAAAAAGAACAGCTACAAACTGCTGAATTTTAAGCCGAACTTTTTCTGAATCTGTATCTAATGGTACCTTGGAAAGCTAGAAGACAGAATTATACCTCTGTAGCCACTGTTTAAAAGAAGAGCACTTAATATATAATGCACAAAACAGATGGTTGCATGAAATAAGGTTAGCTTCCTATCAAGAAAAAGCCAAATTCTCTGTAGGAGAAAGGCCAAAAAATCTAGAATTGTATTTTAAGTGCTTGTATAAATGACATAGAAGATATTTTTTAAAAGTCTTTAAGACATAATTTTTGCTGACTTGACTTCTTCTGCTACTACTTTTCTATAGTTTTCAGCTAGCATGTTAATAAACAAATGCCCAATTCCACCAGTGAATGCAGTGCAGTGCACACAAAATAAGATGGCAGTATGAATGCAAATAAAGGGATATCACCAAAGGTCTTAGTAACAAGGAGAAGTTGTTAAACTAACAGGCCTGCTTTAAGACAGGAATTTTAGAATGAACCAGTCAGAAGTAGGAATTTTGCAGGAGAAAACCACTGGCAAAGGACCTATGGATTTCTCATTAGTGATGCTATAAATTAAAGCCTGCTAAAAAACAATAAGGGGATTTAAGGACTTCTTCCAGCTCTGTGACTGTAGCCCATTTGTTGACTTCACTTTACAGATTAAAATCATATTCCTTATCGCTCTACATGTTTCTGTAAAATAAGGATGGAAAAAAATGTACCAAAAATGAGATTCAGAAGTTACAATTTCCTTTCCTCATATCCTGTTCAAAATACCGCAATCATACTGTCATTAACTAAACACTGAAAGAAGTAGGAAAACAACTTTGTATGCGTTTGCCCTATGGGCTACAGAAGTGAACTGGCAGAACACTCACTTATTAGGGAAACTAAGTACTTACCTATATGCTAACCAAGTAAACTCTCTTTTTACATACCAAGACAAATTTCTTTTTACATGCATACACACGTATTACCAACCTACCTCTCTATGTACAAAACTATAACCAATGCCAAATCCCTTGGAAATTGGAAAGGTAAACTGTCACTCTAGTACACTAATGAGAGCTTAAAAGCTTGATGCACCGTTTAAGTATGTTTAACTCTGTCAGAATCTGCCCAGGAAAAGTGTGTTTGCATCTGCCTTAGCACTTCTCAAGATCTAACTCTGTTGTGCCAAAGGACTAGAAGCAATGAACCGCATGGACAGAGTACATTTATATTTCATACCCCTCCGGCAAGAGCAAGGAGTTACAGCCAGTGCGAGGCTTGGGTCTTTGCCAGAAAGAAACAACAGACATATCACCTAATGGGATTAACAGAGGAAACAGTCTCCCCATAATGTCATTATAAAATGTCCAAAGGCTCCAGGTTGGAACCTGGTCCTCATCATAAATCCATACAACGCAGAGACCTGGGGAGCTTTCAAGTATAGCAAGCAAAGTTACTCTATTTTTTTCTTGATCAGGAGGAGCCACTGGTGTGTCTGCTGTATGAGACACATAGAGATGGGGTCCAGTTTGAGAGTCTAAGATACAGACATGGATCAAATGAAAACACACTTGGTGACCCACAGGAATTTACAGGTATAGCTGGAGATGTTATGGGATATGGCAAATAGAGCACTGCGGAAGGATCATGTCCATTATATACTACTAACTATACTGTGAATGAAAGTGCAGAAGCAAGTAGTAACTACAGAAACCTACCTTCGCAGAGTCAGAAACATTGTCCCAGTAGGGAGATGGAAAATCCACCTGTCCCATCAAAATCTGATCAAAAAGAACTTCTTGGTCATCTCCACTTCTATAAAGTAAAAAAACAACAACAACGTACACATAGGAATTATTTCAGAGCTGGTTTTAGTAAATTTTTTGAAATTGCTTTTTATTGGAGAGCCCTTAGGATGCCTTTGGAAGCTGTTGATTCTCCCCAAGCACAGATAGGAATCCTGAGATTATAAAATGAGGTGCATTTGGTACACTGTTTTGGAGGTAACCTGCTTGTCTTTAGGCCTGACAACAACTTTTCATATGGTTTGACGGGAAAAAAAAAGATCTTTAAGACAAAAATTGAAACATCCTTATTAAGTAGCTGACATTTTAATTACCTTTTACTGACCACAAAATATGTTGTATTTGATCCATGAAAGATGATGATTATTTCCCTGTGTATTTTAAACATCAGGTAAAGGCACTCACAACCTGAAACGGAGACTCTTGTAATACAGTGAGGTTTAAGCTAAAACAAGCAAACGTGAGACAGAGATTTCGCAGCAAAATCACGGACATGTATGGCATGTAAATTACTATGCAGAGCATGGGAAACCCAAAGGCTATGAGTAGAGAGCTTTTTCCAGTGGGTTATCTGTGTACTTAAGACAGACAGCAGCACAGGGACCGTCCACAGGACAAGGATGGTTGAAGAGATTGGAGCCCATACCCACGGAACGGAGGAAAACCACAGAGCAGGATGTAAGTGATCACACCCGCTGCCCAGATGTCCACCTTCAGGCCATATCTAGAAGTGTAAGAAATGTGGTTAGAGAAATCACAGTTATATGAACCATACTGTAAAAATAAACATTTTTAGGATTGTTAATAACTTCTTATATGTTCTGACATGAACTTCCTCTATGCTCAAACTGCATCGATGAATCATCACTAGATGTGATTTACCCAGTTTCAGCAATGATTTCTGGAGCTACATATGTTGGGGTCCCACAAACAGTATAGAGAGGTCCATCCACAATCGTTGCTAGGCCAAAGTCTCCTAGCTTCAGAGACTTGCTTCCATCTTGGTGTTCATAAACCTAAATAAGGGATAAAAACCAAAGATTTAATATAGTTCTGTTAAGGAAACTGCTATATCATTTACTAAGTACCTGAAATGTTGCTAATTTACACTCTTCCCTCCTTACCTAACACTTGGAGTGGGGTCTGCTTTAGATTTCACAACTAGGACAACTTGTCCATTAAATGTACCCATTGTGACTGAAAATGTAGGTGGAACTTGAATACAAAGGCAGAAATTGCAACTTCTTAGAAAACACATCAGAAACTGCCCTGATAGTAACCGTAGAATCTTCTTTGTGTATTGATCAAATGCAAACCTACCTAGAATACGTGGGTTTCCTGGAAACACAGTCCTGTCCTTGAATGACTGTTAAATACCAGTATCTTAGAAGGATGTTCTCTACATGATCAATGGATGTATGTTGGCTGCAATACTGCACACTTGCAAATCCCATTCAAAAACATGGTTTATATACCAGAAATATGATCTTTTTGTTTTCTTTTTATGGGTACTCTCTAAAGGAAGATTAAGATATAGTCAAAAAAAAAAAAGCTAGAAAACACAGTAAAAAAACCCCACAATTTAAAAAGCTGGGCTCATGTAGAAGAAAGACACTCAAACATGCAAACACTGAAAATATATTTAAAATACTTAAAAGAGCAAAATGTATCTAAGTTAAATATTAGATTATGAGTCTTTAAGGTATTGTTTGTTGAGGTACTTGCTTCTTATTTTGAAACTGTTTATGATGCAATTTAATGCTTTTTATCTTAATGGAACTGAAATATCCCACAGAAGGGCATCTTTATGTATGTATGTATGTATTTCATTAGTTCTTTGCAACCAATTCAAAGTTGCATGCAGTCTGCCTCGCTGCCAGTGATACTGCGACAGGAATTACCTGGCAAAAAAAGGAGAAATCATACTTCACAACAAAAAAAAACAAATAATGCTTAAAACGTATCCTGGATGGCTATTCCCGTAGCAGAAATCACAGAGCTGTTTGCATAGAAGTCCTAGATTTTTTCCTACCAAAATGCAACAAATTCTACTCAACTTTAAAAAGCTACTTTTACAGTCCCTTTAATAGTTTTCTTGCAGCAAAAATAAAATCTAGATGCCTCTCCCCACTGTTCACAACAGATCTTCAGTAACTCATAATAATTACTTATATCGTATATATATGTGTGTGTATATATATATATATTTATGCATATACAACAGTACTACTTTGTTAATGCTGGTTTTGTCTAGAGAGGGAAAGAAACTCTTGAAACACTGTCCTGAACAGTCCTGAAACACTGCTATGAGGTGCTTGAGTGACATTTAGACATTCAGAATTTACAAAATTCTTCTCCTTCCTCATATTGTTTGTTTTTAATGATACAACGGGATCTTTAAGAGTGATTTGATACAGATTCATATTTCTCTGCTCCTATGCCAGAAAAAAAAGATGGGCTTGCAGAAAAGCCCTGGGAAAAAAAAAAGCAATTATGGTTTTATTAAAAACACAGATTGTTAAATACATCTGGTTCCTGAAACTAAAGAAAGTGCTCTCTGAAATGGCAGTAATAAATCTAATTTCAACAACAGTTTTAATTAAAGACTAGGGACTAGAGACTTTAAATATTCACTTGCTGAAAAATGTAAAGTGTTCACTTAGACATCAAGAGCTGCATCTAGTCTAATTAGCATCTCATACTCTATTTTATAAAGTTATTTTTTATAAAGCCTTATGTGAATTATGGTAACATATCTGTTTATAAATTTCCTCCTTTAGAGGGGGTTTTATGACTTATATATATATATATATAAGGAATTCATTATGAAAAAACCTTATTTGGGCAATATTTGCCAATGAAGAATATTTGGTACTTTATATTTTCCAGTATTTTGCCCCATCTGTTTCCAGGGATTACTTTCTTTGGAAAACGACTTCAGTTGACTTGTAAAGCTGAAGAAAGTAACTTTTCCTCACTCTGTTATAACTCCATATAAAAAGGAGCCCAGTGTGAAGCTGTGGTATGTTACTTGCCAGTCAAGGAATGCAAAAGATAATTTAATGCTCATGTTATTCAGAACAAACGCTATATATATTCCACTGCATTTAAATACTGAAGGCAATTAAAAAAATGGGGATTAGTGCAAATTACCCACTATGTAGTGCTTTCACTGTTTTAACTAAGCAATAAAACTGTGTAATTGTACAACACTAATTGAATGCAGCCATACATAATTGTGTGCCACCATATGTATCCTATTACTATAAAGACCCTCAGTATTTTCTAAACTGCTCTTGTGATCACTGCAGATGGCAACAGTCAGAGAAGTTGTTCTCTAGGGTTTATTATACGGCTATAAAGACATCCTAGGACTTGACAAAATAAATGTGCTAAATAGCAGCAATTATGAAAAATGTTCCAATTAAAGCGTGGAAGACACTCTCTAGAGGACAGAAAATGTGTGTGTCAGTAAAACATCACAAATATTTGGCATATCCTAAACTTTTGGCCAGTTGGCTGTTGGTCTTTGCAAGTCTTGAAGATAATAAGGAATATTTAAGCACTCCTACAAATGACTGCTGTTTCACCAAGGAGGTTGAGGAAGGTGCACAAGCAGGAAGGTTTTTTGGTCAGGTTTGTGGCTGATGACGTATATCAGGTCTACCAGAGACATTTGCTTTTGGGGAAGAGTCAAAGAAAATGAAGAGCAAGAGGGAGAAAAAGAAAAGGAGAAGCTCTCCCTTGTGGAAGAGATGTGGTGGGAAAGCACCATCCTGCCTTGGGTGTCCCCTGCACAGCAGGTCCTTACCTGTCCTCCCAGGCCTTGTATTGGCTCCCCTCTTGCAACCCCAACCATGGGGTAGGAAAAGGGTAGGGGAAGGAGGTGTAAGGCCCTGAGAAGACCAGCATGGAAATGACGACATTCAAACCAGGAAAAAATAGCACCCTTAGCTGACAGCTTAGGCAAAGGGGTCACAGAGCAGCCAGCCAACGTACTGTATCGCAAGCAGAAAACCCATGGAAATATAAGGGTTGAAGCCTCTCCAATATTGTACAAGTGTTTTATAGATGCCAAGGAAATGCCAATCGTCATTTTTTAACATAAAGAACAGCCATCCTATTTAACAGATAGGATGATTGAAGCAGAAAGGGCACCTATGGGCACGAGCAATCAGTGTCAGAAAGGGTATCAGCGCTCAGGTAAGGCTTGCTCAAAAGCCCTCTCCTAAAACAGTGTTCACTTCTGACAAAGACCTGATAAACCTTAGAGGATGAGTAGTATAATTTGTGAACCAAATGCTAGCTTTTGAAAGTTACGATGCTGAAAGCAGTTCAGTGCTGCATATTCATTGCTTAACAGTAATATATATGACCTTTATTTGGGCACTAGAGAGGAAAAATCATTTGGAAACAGATCGATTACAATGCAAAACAATGTGATTCTTCATTTATTGCCACAGATGGGTGGGTAGGTGAATTTATTCTGCTCCCCACTTTCCTCTAACTTCCTCCCTTCCTGCAAAAGCTGCTTCTATCATTTTCAGACTTTAGAAATCAAGGACATTTCAGGAAAAAAAGGGAGGTGAGCCTTTCCCCTAGGCAGTCCTATATTTCCCAAGTCTCACTGTAAATGAATCCTGGTGTGACGTCTATAACTTATGCATGCAGCCACCTACGAACACCAGCATTAAGGTTGCTATAGGCTGCTCTATATATAAGCAGTTGGAGATTAATGAATGTTCTACCCAACATGTTTTTAGCAGTTTCTGGAAAACCAGGGCAGCAATAGCTGCTTTCTCACCCAGAACTCTATCGGCATCTATCACCAGAGAAATCTCAACTGTTAAAAATTGCTTTCCCTGGAACTTCATTAAGATTTACTGGAGTCAGTTTTCCCGTAACACCTCCTCAGAGTCAAGCACTACTAAATGTGATGGTGGACAGCATACAAAATTGGTATTTTGGTATCTTAAACATTGCTACATGGTTGCAGAATATGTAGGAACCGGGACATCTTGACAGTAGAACATGTCATCAAATTAGGAAAAGCTCAGAGAATGGTGAAGTAATTAGGAAACATTAGTTTCTTGGAAGAAATGAAACTCTCAGGTGGAGAACACCATTGTTTCATTCATGGGTGCAAAATCCCCAGAAGAAGGACTCATTACCAGAGGATCTCCCTGGTCTTCATTTGTTGGGGTTCATATAGATTCAATCAGGAAAGGAAAGATTTAAGCTGTCTATCAAGAAAAGTGAAAGTGCAAGGATTATTTGGGAGATATAGGGAGATTATTTGGGATGGGAAGGACTCTAAAGATCTCTTCCTGGTTCTGCAAGGGGAACAGTCCATCGCTTATGCACACATAGTTTTAAAAATTGAACTGCTGCTAATTACTTAGGGAACTGTGTCGCACTGCAGAGGTACAGATTAGTCTATTAGGGGAGCGAACACTTCACATTTATGAAAAGCCTGGAATTATGTTGCAGCACAATACAAGATCACTCCTAGTGACCACTGGAACAGTTTGTCCCTGTGTCCCAAGCAGCAGACTACATATAGCATCTGATATTACTGTACTCAGTGATAGCTGTTATTCTTAGGAGCAACTTTACAACGGTAAAGTTAAAAGACTGAAATAAATACAAAGGTGGGATGGAGAAGGAGCGGAAAACCCAGGCACACTCTCATTCATTCCCAAATTAGCAAGAACAACATCAAAAGCTTAATTTTCACTTACCAGCAGATTCTCAGGCTTGATATCCCTGTGAACAATGTTCAAGCTGTGAAGATACTTGATGGCACTGGCCAAATTGTAAAGCATCCCACTGGCATCCCGCTCTGTGTATTTGTTGGTGGAAGTAATAGCATCAAAAAGATCTCCTCCCTGGAGCAAAACAACCATGGCACATGAGCAACATTTACTTGTGAAGTGACTGACAAATTTAGGGAAGATCAAGGAGTATCATTTATGGAGGAGGAGGGAGGAGCAGCACATTTTCCTTCCAGCTATAAACTTTGGGTACTGTGCTGACATCTTCCCTAAAGGAAGATGAACATTAATTCAGAACCATTTCTCATGGTTTAACTGGTCAGACAGACTTTCCTACCAAACTGTTCCCTTCTGCGGCTCTTGTAACGTTTGGCAGTACTCACCAACGTGTGTGTTCAGAGCTCCTCTTGCACATTTCTGGTGTGCCTACACACTTGCCTGTCGCCGTGTTGGATACCAACCCTCACCACTGTTTATTATAATCACAAATGAGCTGACATCATTTTTTTGCCCCAAATCTGGCAATTCCACAAAGATGAAGACTTTCTGAATAAAACTAAAAGAACTACTTGTCGTCACTGCTAGTGTATTTTAAAAAACTGTTTCCATCTTGTAAAACTTTGAAATATGGCTTTTAGAAACTGCTTTCTCTACCAAGATATCAGGTGCTTGGTATTGTGAGGTTCTTCTTTCAGATAATTCTGAAGAATTCTCCAGCATATATTACGGAGAATCATACTGCAAGAAAGACAGCTGTTTCACCATAGCTGCAAATACAGGTAGCTGCCTGCATCATCTCCAGATCCTCATGCTGTTTAATTCAGCCAAAAGCTACTGCCAGTGAAGAGTAGGCAGTGAGAGGGAGGGAGGGAGGAAAAAGGAA